CCTAGATTCAGCCGTCCCCGGTGACCGGCTGATCACTAACTTAGGTCGTGTCGTGTGCTTCCATGGTGCCATTTCAAAAAATAATAATAAGAAAAAAAATTAAGAATAAGAGAACCGACGGTTACCTGAACGAGTGACGACTGATGAAGTTCTGAAATCCCTTGCAAACGGCTTGTCAGAGCAGGCGGTAGGCAACAAAAGTGTCAGAGCAAGTTCAGGGGTCCGAATGTTCTCGCAAAGTTCTCAAATGTGAAAATGACCGAAGTCAGCACCTCCTTATATAGGCAAAGTGAGAAGGCGAAGGGTCGCTTCCAAATTCAAAATTTGGGCGGGAAAATCTCTCGGCCATTTGCAAGGTGACACCTGTAGCAGGCCGTCGCCTGTCATCGTGCGGCACCTGTCACAGGTGACACGTGACCAGTCACGTGCCACCTGTGAGGGGCAAATGATTAGGGGATTTTTATCCACCAATCACCGTCTGACAAGTGGACCAACCAGGTTCCGCCACGTGTCCTTCACGTAGGCCAATAGGAGCTTGCCACGTGTCAATCACAGATACGTCCTCTACGGATCAATTGAGACACGCCACGTGTCCACCCATGCCAAATGGGAAAACCGGCCACCAAGGCCCAATCCTGTTATGAGGCCCACTCAGCCCTAGGTTTACCCTAAACCTAGATACTGGCACGCTTCCCGAGGATATAAATACTCCTCTTAATCCTCATTAAGAAAGAGAACTCGAATAACACACGGATTATACATTAAACACTCTCACCTAGAGAGACTAAATCACTTTAATTTCCGCACTTATTACTCCTTAAACAAGTACTAACTTGACCGTTGGAGGCGGAGCTCCCAGGAGTCTCCGTTATTTTGCAGGTACAGGCGGCCGGTTCCAGTCTCGGTGTTGTAACTCTCCCGCAGGACATCAGAAAACCCCGAAACACATATATACAAGACATCTGGTAATTTTCCTAAAAAATTGATATTATTTTATTATCAATATTGTAAATAAATTTGGCGAATTTAAATTATGAGTGGGTCACATTGAAGAATGAGGAGACATGACTCCACTTTATTTATTTATTTATTTATTTTTAAAAGACTCCACTTTATAAAGTAGAGGACAATTAGCCGAATTGGTATAAAACTTAGCACCCTTATGACAGATTGATATTGGTATAAAAGTTATCGCCGGCGGCAAATTGGTATAAAAGTTAGCATGTTGTGACATATTGGCATAAAAGTTAGTCACTAGTGTCGTATTGGTATAAAAGTTACCATGTGATGACATATTGGTAAAAAAGTTTATTAGTGATAACATTTAACCCTCTTTCTTCTGAGAATAATAAGCGTAAATTGTACAAAAGATAATTCTTATTTTTTGTAGCTTAAATCTATTGTTTTCCTTTACCTTTTTTTTTTGTTTTAAATATTTATTTTTCGAAACTATTAAAAGCCCCCAAAAAAGTTAAAGAATAAAAAAGAGAAAAAAAGGAAAATATAGAGAAATATTCTAGATTATGCAGAAGAAAAATTACAAGAGCAAACTCTTTGATTAAATACTTTCAAGATCATATTGAGCTTTTTTGTTCCAAATATTCAATTTTATATAAATATATTTTCTCCCAACTTCATAAATATCACAACTTATTACATGGCAATTTTCATTTTTGAGACACTAAATTATAAAAATTTCTCTTTTCATTCATTTTTTGAGATTTTTTTTGAACTCACGATTTGTTTTTGTTATTATTTATCGATTATCTTAGGTGAATGAGCATGAAAAAAAAAAACTCATTCGGCAAGAAAAGAAGGGTGAAATGTCACAGCTTGTTAATTTTTATACTAGGTTGTCGCAATTTGTTAACTTTTATACTAATATGTCGCCGATGACTAACCAATTTGTCACAAATTGCTAACTTTTATACTATAATATGTTACTGGCGATAACTTTTATACTAATATGTTACAAGGGTGCTAACTTTTATACCAATTTGGCTAATTTAGTATCTCGAACTAATTTGTATTAGTTCCCTCAAAAAAAAAAAAAAAAAAAAAAAAAAAAAAAAACTAATTTGTATTAGTTTCTTCCATCGAATAAAATCAGTTTCAATCCGGGCAACATCAACAACAGAATTATTACTTCCTACACAATCATTAGGCTAATTGACATGAGCACCTTTCAAATTTCATGTAATAACACTAATGCTCTGGAAAATAGTTGGCTACTTTATACTACGTGTGATTACTTCCTAGATATTTGAAACAATGGTGATGTTAATCTAAAGATTTGCACGATCGACATATTATTCCAGTTAATTTAAAACATACAAGTTGAGATAATATTATTAGCTATTAGCTAACACCTCAACTAACAAATCACAGCGTATCTTTACATAACATTGACTTTTCCTGGTCAATTTCCACCCAAAAACATTAACAGTACACACCCTTATTATAAGTTCTGGTGCAGAAATTCATCCCATAATTTCAGAAATTATAATAATTAACTTAATATTATTAGCAACAAGATTATATTTATAGAAATGAAAGTGCAATTTAGTATTAGCACTAACCAAATTTTTCATATGATCAAAATTCAAGTGCCAGCTAATTATAACACGAATGATGCTCGGATTATTGGTTTTAAATTGTATACATAATGATCTAACATACAATGTCATATCCTGCTCCCTGTATGTTCATCACAATCTCAAGCAACAGCTACGCACGAGTGTAAATGACACCATATATCAGTTAGGTTAGCTAATAAATCATTTAATGGTTAGCAATTGGCATGTTTTTTAAAAAAGATATTGAGCATAATTTGAAAATGTAAGCACTCGTGTGTATGATCCTAGAATAAAGGCGAGTGCCTGACTGTAGAAGACCATGCAATTTTATGCATTAATGAATGCCCTTACTACAAAATATTCTGAAGCTCTTCAGCAGACATTTGGAATACTAACAGCTGGTAAGCTATGAAATCACGTTCGTCCACGCGTATTATCTTCACATAATTGACCTTGATTTAATCATAAGTTACTTTAATGGAAGATAATTGCATTTATTATTCTATTTTTCTAAAAAAAATCTTATAATCAACAAACTTTTTTTTTTTCCCTTGTAATTCTGTACAAGCATTAGAAACAGAGATTGCTTTAAGTATATAATAATCAACAAACTTCAGTAAATTAGGATTTTCAGGTCTAAGAACTCTAGTAACTTTTGAGAATAATGATTGAAATCATAAACTAGAATGAAGAACACAAATATAATTGGAGAAAGTTATATGTATAATATATTCATTTGTATCATTGTATTGTATATTCACAGTATCAAAAATTTTTGTACAGCTATCTATTTTAATTCTAGTTACTAAGGACATTGAGAAGAGTTGATCTGGTCTTCATCAAATGCCTAAACAATGATTCCAAAACTTCATCAATTTCTTGAATTTCTGATTCTAAATTAACTAGTTGTGACATGTCAACATTCACTTTCTTCACAAGAAGAGCATCAACAGCATCAAAGGATGTTGCTGCTTTCTTCTCAGATTTTTGGCTAAAGAAAGACCAGCTACTCTTCTGTGATCCACCAATGTAAGACAACAAAGAGTTAAAGACTTCAGCAGTCAACGCTTGCACATCCTTGAGCATGCTCTCAATGGCAACGGGCTCAACTGCATTCATATCTTTCAAGCACTTCTTGATTGTCTTCTTGGATGCTTTTCTTGTTTTTAGGTATTCAGCGACTTCATTGGTAATGTCAAGTTCACCGCTGCATCTTCTTCGAAGAACTGATTGAATGTTTTGGATCTGTTCCTTTGACACTGCCAAGACATCTCGAGATGTTGAGCAAATGTCAATGAGTCTTAGAGATCCATCTAATACTTGTTGAGATTGTGATACGGTTTTCTGATTTTGGGGTAGTTGAAGAAACTCTTCAACGCACTTGTATAAATCATTTAGACCACTAAGTTTGGTGGTCAAGGATGAAGTAGAAGCAGCTTGAGAAGATCTCAATCTGTTTAATTGTTGATCCAATTGCTCAGAAACGGGGTGAGAGTTTGAGGGGAAACTGAAAGATCGAGTGTGGATAGAAGCCATTTTGATATTCGTTTTAAGTTTGTTAAGAGGCTTAGAGTTGTAAGATAGAAGTCTTGAGTTGTTGATTATCTCATTGTTTTGGCTCTATTTATACCAAAGTAAGAGAAGACAGAAAGAATCAAAAATTAAATAAGACTCAGAGAGATAACATGGCCTTCATTGGGCTTGTTTCAGATTGTCTCTTCACAGCAAACTAGCCAACTCATGAATCAATCGATGATGAAATTTGCTGTTAATATTATATACTTTGATATCAATTAAATAAATGAGTTGCAGGATGTTTTGTTATGCAACAACCAGTACAAAAACTGCAAAATGATGTATTATATTAATCAAGCTCCTTTGAGCTGTTTCCTTTATGTGTTTAAACTCTCAATTAAGCAGCACAGCCAATGTGTTTTCTGTAATTCAAGTGTAACTCATGTGGGTGATAAACTATTATATTCGGCGACAAAATGTAGGTATCATGATCCTATAAAGGCGCTATACAAGACTAGAAATGAGGGTACTTATCTCTCATTCGATGCAATGCAAACTCCATCGCCTGTTCTAGCTTGTTCAATGATTACTCGCTGCAATGCAAAACTCCATCAGACCCATCAACCGTCAGTGTTCCTCTGTTCCACGCTAAATCACTGCAATGCAAACTCCATCACTCGTCCGTGTTTCACGCTTAATCACTGCAATGCAAACTCCATCACCCCATTTGAGAGGCAGAAAAGGTCCAAATTTTAATTGAAAGTAAAAGCATTTCAAGCAGCATAAGAAATTCATCAAACACCTTATAGGCTTTCCCGAACAACCTTGGCCTACTAATGGAATCTACAGAGCATATGCATAAGAAATTCATGATTTTGATTTGTTAGGTTTTGGGAAAGGATTCAAACAATGGCATTTAAAAGGGTGATTGATATAATTGAAGATAAGGCCATCGTAAGAAAGGCGTCATTAGAGGAGGTGCCATTTCGATACCAGGGTAGTTTGGGGTTATGATTACTTATGAAGAGTTTGGTCATACGAGAAATCCAATTTGCAAATAAAAAGTCTTGGCGAAGACCTTTGGTGTTGAGAGAGATATACACCCGGGTACACAGTGCATCCAAGGTATTTGTTTGTTCATTTGATGGTAAATTCAGTCGTTATCATCGAAATGAGCAAACAATATCCTTAGGTGCACTGTGCACCCGCATGCATATAACAATTTCTATTAGGTGTTAGGGAACATTTAAGGGGTGTTTGTTTGGTTTTCGGTTCAAATTGTGTTTCTATATTGCACTATTGGTTTATTTGATGATGAAATATGAATTAAAAGGGCTCAATGTGTACACCACCGAGAGTGAGAGATAGATCAACTGATTAGAGGCTTAGAACTACCCTCCCGATTCCAAGAGAACTTGAGATCAATTCTCATCTTCCTTGACCTAGTGACTCTTAAAAAAAAAAGTAAATTACAACACCAAGGAGAAAATTTCATACTCCCAAATTCAAATTTTTTTGTGTGAAAAATTCACACTTATTTGTTGATAATTAATTTCAATTTTCAAAGAAAAATCTGAATATGCAAAATGTATCATATCCCATATTGGCGGTGTACTTAAAAATTAACAACATTATAATTAGAATTATCAACGTAATGAGCACCCAACTACAATAGTTGGGTAGCCATTATAAATCTTGAATCATGAGCAATTGGATTGATTAATGGATAGCCATTCGGGAAGGATGGGCTAGTTTTTTATTATTGAATTTTTTTAAAGATAATTTTTTATGTTAAAAAGTTTTGGCTCTATTTTCTTCCCATTATTATTTTCTAAATTGAAATCATTTTTACTTTGGAAAAGTTTAATAAAGGTAATATAATTTTATTTGTATTGGTTTTTTTTATGCATGTCGGGGTAACTTTTTCTTATTTTAGGGTAACTTTATAACGGCTATATAATATTTTACTAGTTTTGTGCCCCGTGCGATGTCCGGGTTGTTTATGAAGTCGATTTAAATCTATACAACGTGGCGCGACACTCAAATTTTATTTTACTGAAAATAAAACTCTAAATTAACAATTTTATCCTAAAAAATTTTATTTTATTGAAAATAAAACTCTAAATTAACATATAAAAAATTCACTTCTGAAGCCAAAGGAGGTTTCATTCCAAAATCATTTGACAATCACAAAAGCAACACCTTGGTGTTATAACATGTTTAGCTTTATCTTCTTTTCTCAATATGGGATAACTATATGTATTGTTTAAAAAGGTTACTCCACCTCACATGTAAGCATTGACGAATTCGAGGGCGAGCCTATCCAACCCCTGGCCCGTCCCATGCCCAGATTTTTCAGTATTAAATACTAAATTGTGGTATTTGTAAAGCAATTGATGAAAGATAGCTAAGTTGGTTTAGTTATTGTTAGACTAGTGCAGCAAGTCAGGGTTTCAAGTCCCACAGGTAGAGCTTGACAATCACTGACACGAAACGATAACACGATCGAAACCGACACGACACGACACGAACACGAAGTTACTGAGAGAAAACACGACACGACACGAAATCAACCCGAACATGACCCGTTTAAATAAAGTGGTCAAATTATGCAATTATCTAACATTTTACATAGTTTTTGATAAATTTTATGAATAATACGAAATTGACACGAGACCAAACACGACACGACTTTTTCCCAGCTCTGATTTGTGAATCCGTCTCATGATGTAAAGTCTCTTTTCACTCTGGTCCCATGTAATATTTTATGGGGTCAAAGTGCGTTTTCACACTTCCCCTCATGGCCTCATAGCCTCATAGGGACCAATTCAATTTGACCCATGGCACTCATTACTCAAGCCATTTAAGGTCCAAACTGTGGTCTGTGGGTCTGGCTCTCTCAACAATTGCATCACATGATTCACAATTTCACATCCATATATCCAACTTTCTTACAAATTTCATCACCATCTTTATGGACATCTCAATTTGTACAGATATCAAAGATAATCTTATACAAAATATATCCTAAACCTAGGATGAGAATATTCTATGGATATTCTCTATCAGTTTTTATCCACTTTTTCGCATAATCCTGAATTTCTTACTTATGTGCGCCTTTTGATACCTTTAGGAGGCTAAAGTTCATGGTTGTTTCATTCTTTGATATATTTTGTTGCACCCACAAGGTGTTTGATGAAATGCCTAAGTGAGATATTGCTCTTGATATGTTTTGATTTTTGGGTTGGTGTATTCTCTTTCAGCCTCATCTCAATTGGGGCTTTGTACATAGACTTCTACAGTAATTATGTAAGTTTGTATTGTTGCCTTGCAGGATTGGTTATAAAGTTTGCAATGAATGAGCCTGGAACACAGTCCAGTTATGGAGTTTGCATTGCAACCGTGTAACACGGACAGGTGATGGACTTTGCACTGCTGCGATTGAGCGTGGAACACGGATGACTGATGGAGTTTGCATTGCAGCAAATGAGCATGGAACACAGTACAAAGGGTACGGGTCTGGAGTTTGCATTGCGTCGAAGGAGAGATTAGTTCTCCACCGTACCCACTCGTGTATAGCGTATTTATAGGATCATGATACCTACATTTTGTCGCAAGGTACTGTACTTTATCACCACATGATTTGTACTGGAACTTACGAAGTATTGTTTAATTAAGAATTACAAGACAAAGAGGAAACAACTGATATGAGGTTGATTAAAATAAGACGTAATCTTGTAGTTTTTGTACTGGTTGTTGCATAACAAAACATCCTGCAATTCATTTGTTTATGATATTAACAGAAAGTTTCATCATTGATCGATTTGTGAGTTGGCTAGTTTGCTATGAAGAGACAATCTGAATAAGCCCAAGAAAGACCACGTTATCTCTGCAAGTCTCATTTATTTTTTGATTCTTTTTGTCTTCTATTACTTTGGTATAAATAGAGGCTGAAGAATGAGATATTCAACAACTCAAAACTTTTATCTTATAACTCTAAGCCTCTTAACAAACTTAAAAACAATATCAAAATGGCTTCTATCCACACTCGATCTTTCAGTTTCCCCTCAAACTCTCACCCCGTTTCTGAGCAATTGGATCAACAATTAAACAGGTTGAGGTCTTCTCAAGCTGCTTCTACTTCATCCTTGACCACCAAACTTAGTGGTCTAAACGATTTATACAAATCAGTTGAAGAGTTTCTTCAATTGCCCCAAAATCAGAAAACCGTATCTCAATCTCAACAAGTATTAGATGGATCTCTAAGACTCATTGACATTTGCTCAACATCTCGAGATGTCTTGGCAGTGTCAAAGGAACAGATCCAAAACATTCAATCAGTTCTTCGAAGAAGATGCAGTGGTGAACTTGACATTACCAATGAAGTCGCTAAATATCTTAAAACCAGAAGAGCTTCCAAGAAGACAATCAAGAAGTGCTTGAAAGACATCAATGCAGTTGAGCCCGTTGCCATTGAGAGCATGCTCAAGGATGTGCAAGCGTTGACTGCTGAAGTCTTTAACTCCTTGTTGTCTTACATCGGCGGATCACAGAAGAGTAGCTGGTGTTTCTTTAGCCAAAGATCTGAGAAGAAAGCAGCAACATCCTTTGATGCTGTTGATGCTCTTCTTGTGAAGAAAGTGAATGTTGATATGTCACAACTAGTTAATTTAGAGTCAGAAATTCAAGAAATCGACGAAGTTTTAGAATCATTGTTTAGGCATTTGGTGAAGACAAGATCAACTCTTCTCAATGTCCTTAGCAACTAGAATAGAAATTCATCCTTGTACAAAAATTTTTGATACTGTGAATATACGTATAAATGAATATACTACACATACAATTATCTCTATTTATATCTGTGTTCTTCATATTTATGCTTTCCATAATTCTTTCAATCATCCCAAAAGTCTCTTGAAACTTGACAAAAACAGGGTAAAATAAAAAAATAATCGACAGTTTGACGATGAGATACATGATTTATCAAAGTTTATGAATCTCTGAACTATAAATGCTTACATTTTTTAACGGAAGAGAGGGGTTGAGATTCCTATTCTTCTACTCGAATTTAACTCAATCTATTCAATATATATGCTAATCGATCGATACGTGGTGTAAATTCCACCCGTGCATAGCTGTTGCTTTGGATCATGATGGACTTACAGGGAGCAGGATATGGCGTTGTAAGTAAGTTAGATCAATAAATACTATCTACTTTTAATGATCCGAGCATGGTTTGTGTAATAAAAGGTTACTAGCTAAGCACTATAATTTTGATCATATGATTTATTTAATTAGTACTAAAAACTAATTCGAACTATATAACCTAGTTAGTAGTTTATGAAACCGTATCAATTATTATTACTGAGTAATTAAATTGCAATGTCCAGCTTTGCTGAGTATGTACATAATTATGGTGGAAGGTTATAATAATTCGTTAATAATCTCAACAAAATGAATTTTAATTTTTCAAACAATGGGTTAAATTATAAACGATTTACATCACTCTCTTTGAGCTTATATACAGACAGTATTAATATATACGACAAGTGGTTTTGGTAATGGTTAATGGCAGTTGAAGTTAGCCATGATGTTGGATCAATTTTTATAGTTTGAGGCCATACTACACTAAAACCACCCAAAAAGAGTGAATATATGTAATGTCCCATATTGTATTTATTCTTTCTAATTCATAGCCTTAAATATAGATATTTAACAACAATGATCACCCACTTACAATAGGTGGGTAGCAATTTCAAAAAGAATTGATTTGTCCTCATCATGCTGGAATTGCAAAAATTAATGTATAGCCATTCGTAAAGGGTGGACTAGTTTTGTTTTTTTTTTTTTTTTTATATTATTTTTTTTTAATATATAGTAAATCTATTAACTATTACTAAAACAGAAAATTGTTGACATCATCCTATTCTCAAACTATATACATGTCACTTTCTCATAAAAAAACTTTCTGGCCTCATGCATTTATGATGTCATATATACCTTGCTTTATTTTTATTTTATTTTTATTTTTTTACGAATTGTTATTGTTATGTTTAACAATTTCATTCAATCTTATGACTAAATAAATAATTTTTTTTAAATTGAAATAATTTTGTATTTTGAACCTTAGATATATAATTTCGTATGCAAATGGTTTGACTAGTTTTTTTTGTTTTTTTTTTATTTAATATATATGAAATCTACTAACTATTACTAAAATAGAAAGTTGATGACATCATCCTATTCTCAAACTGTATACATGTCACTTTCTCATAAAAAACTTTCCAATCTCATGCACTTATGATGTCATATATACCTTGCTATATATATATATATATATATATATATATATATATATATATATATATATATATATATAATAAATAATTTTTTTTAATTGAAATAAATAGATTGACATTGAGCTAAAACTTTTTAGGTACTATTTTTTTAAAAAAAAATCTTTTAAAAGGCTTTAATATTATTTTGTGTGTGTGTGTGTTTTTTTCTAGGAATTGTGTAAGCTACCTAGCTATGAATTGAAGAAGTCATATACTAATAATATGGATGTTTGTTACACAATTTTATTTTTTTTTAATTTTTTGACATAAGTTTATGCAACACACTACATAAAATAATTAAAAGAAGTAAGACTAGAGTTTTGAGTGTTGGAAATGGTAATGCAAACGGATTCTCGCGCCCGACCGAGCGGAGTTGGCTAAGAAAAATAGGAGGGCTCTCGCGCCCGACCGGGCGTCGGATTCGAGTTTTAACGAGCCCGACCGGGCGTGTGTGGCCCGACCGGGCGCAATACCAGGTCTGGGAACATTTTATCTCGCGCCCGATCGGGCGGCTGGTTGCCCGATCGGGCCTGCCTTTTTCCTAGTTCGGTTTGTTTATTTGTCTCCTAATTTCGGGACACATATAAATATGAGCATTGCCTTTCCTGTTTTTAATAATTAAAAATTATTGAACCCTAAACACATAAATAAAAACCTACCCTTTGAGATCTGAACAGTTCTTGAGCAATTTCACTCTTCGGATTCGGGTGCACGAATTACAGGGAGAGTTGCGTTAAACTTGGGGGGCATGCATCATCAGGAAACCTGTATCGGTGGTGGCGTATTTCGCTTTTAAGGCAGTGGATTATTGTTCTACGGCGCGACTGTGAGTTTGAGATTTTCAATCAAGTATTTTCCCTTTCATCTTCTCTATTTTTTGTTATTGGAATCGACAGGTATTTTACCAACAATTTAGAAGCAAAATAGTATTAATTTATTATATAGTTGATTCCTTAATTGTGTGCCGTTCTGTTCAATAAGAGACGAAGGATATTAAGGCTAAATTTATTTGCCGATCTCTGTTAATTACGGCTGAATCAATTTGGTGGATTATATTAAAAGAAAAAAAAAGGGAAATCAGAAATTGGTTGTCTCCATTAATATCATACGATGGAAGTTAATTGTTTTTCAATTATGTTTGATCGCATATGTCGGCCAATCTATGATTAAAGAAGTTATCTTAATCTTGGAGTATATTGTTTGGTGGGAATCATATGTTCGTAGCAAATTGAAGTTGGAGCGCAACTTTTGATCTCTGGCATTGTTGGGCTCCAAGATTTGATGCCATGATGACCAATTAAATCATGATGGCATTGTTGGCATTGTTGCATTTAAGTTGGACAATTAAATCATATTTTTTGTGATGTTAAGGCACTGTAATTAGAATTTCTTTGATGAACTTGATTTTATTCGGGAGCTATTAATCGAAGATTCGAGGGGTGCCGCATGATATGACATGGTTGCATTTCATGTTCCAGTGAGATGGATGAACGATTGCTAGCCCAATGGTAGCAGTCTCCCCGACGGGTAAATTGTGCTTGATATCAGATAAGTTCCTTCTCAAATTTATTTAATTAATGTCTAACTTTACATAATACAGTGTCTATTATTATGTGACCCTGCTTTATATGCATAATTTTATTATTATGAAGAATTGCAATGCAATGTGGGGGTGTTTTGAGTTAGATCTTGAGATTGACTAAGTGACTAGTATGTTAGTGTTACTCTTGTTCAAGAGTGGTTTTGAGGAGAAAGGTTTCCGTAAGAGATGTTTAACTGTGGCTATCTGTTTCTTGACTTGTTGTTTTACAAGTAATTTACCTCTGCTAATGTATGTTTTGTCCAATGATAATTTACTTATGCTCATGGACTTTAATGTGATTTGTCCTAGTAGATTAGGGATGATATATAAATATGTTCTATCTTATGATAGTGTTTTTATTGTTATTTTTCCTAATCATGGTCAATGTTTTGTTGAGCACATAGTATGTGATAAGCTTGTAAGTGTCTCTTTTTTAGATTAAAAAGGGATTTAGAATTATTGGTTCTTTTAATTCTTGTGATCTTAATTAGCTGTGTTCACGAACTTGAAATGTATTTAATTTGCTAGAGGTGTAGCAATTATTTTTCTTGTTGATGGTCTAGATGAGACTGGGTTGATTTCCGTGCTTATTAGCAGAATAAAAAGGCTTGACTAAGTAAAGCTAGAATGGTCGTGCAAGTTTGAAGTGTAAGTGCCCCACATGAGGTAAGGATGGGAATTAACATTCTATATGTCTTTACAATCTATTAATATTCTGTGAATGTTAGTATTGTGGGGGTTGCAGATATGTTTCAATTGATTATTTGTGTAGTAAGTAGTTCACCCAAGAATTTGGTGGATACTCCCTATTTGTTACCCGAGTCATGATTATTTTCATGTGGTATATGTGATGTGGAGTTTTCCAATAATGAAGAATTGACTTCTATATATGTTTCACATAAAGCATGAAGGCTTGTGGGACTGTGGGTGATATGTATGCTGAATATCTGCTACGTTTATCATGTACGAGCTTGATATGTTAAATCCTTGAAATGTCTCAAGTATATGTTTTCCTATGACATGACATGTTAGTCTTGCTCGTTCATAGGATTTGTTCTTGCTTCCTAAGCTTTATTCTGCCAGTAAAGTTGATGAGTTCATCATCTAAGGTGTATTGGATAGATTAAAGCTTAAACTAGTGTTATATCATCTTGGTTTTACTTTCTTGATCGAAAGTTGTATGTAGATGTTTGTTGTGTGGTATATATTCATGTAGTGGTGAATGGAAAAATCCTGAACCATATGGATAAACCTGATTGACTAGTTGTGGAAAGAAGCATGTTGACGCGAGTTGTGCACTCTCTTTGAGTCTGATATGTTTATTGAGAAGAGTATATCTTGCCTTGCTATTAGAAATCCATCTGTTGTAAGTATCTTTCAAGGAGAGTTGTAAGGTGGTTGATTGGAAATGGGCTAAAGGTAAGATACTATGTTGTTAGGATTTATTCTGTAAGTTTGGTGCTGACCATCTCTTATGACTCACCTGGTTTGTTCTAAGCTTGTCTGATTTGCAGTAAGGTTGCTTAAGCTTCCTAGCATGATTGATTGTAAATCAAGGGTGTGTATTTTAAAACGCATGCACAGGTGATAACTTAGAAGATGAGGTATTTTTTGTTCATGATATTATATCCTTTGTGATATGTATGGTGAGTGGAGGTTAGATTTGAGTAATCTAACTTGTTATGTTAAGTTTTTCTTGGCATGTGATTTGAACTTCTTGATGCATGTGTGATGTTACTATGGTTCGCATTGATAGAATTCATTTGCTAGAATGATCATAAGTTGTTAACTTCACATGCATGTTGTTAATTGAGATAAAGATGTATATGTGTCTCTAAGCCAAGAAACAAGTACAAGATAATGTGATAAGAAGAATGGTTCTAGGCAGTATGCCGATGAACTAATAAAGGTACGCATCAATCTCATTATTGTGATGTAGAGAAAGTGGTTTGGTAAATTATATTTATCATGTCTAAGCCAGAGTTATTTTTCATGATTTGACCTTGATATTTGATTCAAATGTGCTAATGTTTTGCAATCTAAATGATGAACAAACTATTCTTGACGTGTAGTGGTTTTGTTGTGAACTATATTGTTCATTATGTTTGTCAAGAGAGAATTACTCAATTATTGTTTGAGTTTCAGATAGTACAGGGATGGAGGTTAAAGTGAGAAAGTTTCTCAAGTACCTATCTAGTAAATTCTAAGAGACAATGGTTGAATGAACAACGATGATTAGTTGAACCTTTTCGGTGTATGGTTTTTACATGATGAAGGGTGATGCTCTGTTTTGAGTGCGCTGCAAAACAAATTGTTGTACACTATCCATTATGAAGAAAAGGTTCATTAGATTGGATGACGTGGTCAAGAAGATGATTGTTGAAAAAAAATTAATCTCTGGAAGTTTGTCCATTGTGGGGGTAAGTTGATCCTCATGTTCTCTACATTATTTTTCACAAGTGTCTATGTATGTTGTCAGGAACTACAGATCGATGTAGTGACAAAGTTAGACAGATCTTGTGGAGGTGATACTCATGTTAAAGTACGTGAAAGCAAAGAAGTATCAAGCAGGTCCTTATACTAGGATGAAGCACAGGTAAGTGCTTGATTGTCTACGAGAATATATTTAAGATCCTGTGGGGTATTTTAAAAAATTCTAGAGACGAAGTTTAAAAAAAAATAAAAAAATAAAAAAATTGAGTCTACATCCTGAAGTGATCTGGCTTAATAACCCTCTAATTTATATGGTTATGAGATGCTTTGGTAGACTTGTTGTTTGATGTTTGCAGGTTGAGCTTTAAGTTCTCTTAATATGTCCATAACCCAGATTGGGTGGTCAATTGAGACAGCTTACATGGACACACCAAAGTGTTTTAATTTGTTGAACTTTTGTTCTGCATGGGTCTAAAGCCTTGTTTTGGTTGACTCATTGTTGGATTTACACCATTTATGTTTATTGAATCTATAACTTTTTTCAGTGGTTTGTTGATCAGGTGGATTCAGTAAGGTTGAGCGTGGCTCTTAATGTCACTTGTCCAGTTATTCTTTGAGCAGGGACTGATAATGGTTCTTAAGTGGATTTAAGACCATTAACCCAGTGGCTCTTAGAGTAGGATTGATAATGACACCGAAGGTAGAAGGTTGAGCATTGCTTGCTCTTAATACTACTAGCCCAGTTACTACTCGAGTAGGGAATGATAGTGGTACCGAATGACTGAGGTTAGGAGTATCCCTTAATGCATCTAGCCTAAGAGCTCATTGAGCAGTGGATTGATAGATGCACCGTCGAGTTGATAGGGTTGAACTTTTCGTTCTTAATGTTCTTATTCCATTGCATAGAAAATCTTGGGTTTGCAAGGTGCTTGAATGTGTTTTAAGCCTGCAAGGAAAGACCCTAGATGTGCTGGGAATGTGTATTTTATACACAGACGGAACACCTACTTGAGTACGAGGGGTGGCCTCCTTCAAGGGAAAATTGTGGTGTAGTTTTCCTGAACTACTCATGAGAGCCCAAGGTGTAGGCCAAGATTGGCGGAGTTTCTTAAGCTCTAAAGTCAAGGTATGTGTATACAAGGTCCCTTCCTCGCTCCTAGGAGTTCAAATCTTAGGATACTCACTAGGGAAGTCTTGAAAACCTTGTGCACTAATGTGTTAGTTCAAACCTTTGGATACTAACATTTAAGTACTAAGACTTTCATTTACTGTTCAGATTTCATGTCGATAATCCGCTCGCATTAGTGGGGGATTGTTGGAAATAATAATGCAAACGGATTCTCGCGCCCGATCGGGCGGCTCTCGCCCGACCGGGTGTCAGAGTCGAGTTTTAACGAGCCCGACCGGGCGTGTGTGGCCCGACCGGGCGCGATACCAGGTATGGGAACAGTTTATCTTGCGCCCGATCGGGCGGCTGGTTGCCCGATCGGGCCCGCCTTTTTCCTAGGTCGGTTTGTTTATTTGTCTCCTAATTTCGGGACACATATAAATATGAGCATTGCCTTTCCTGTTTTTAATAATTAAAAATTATTGAACCCTAAACACATAAACAAAAACCTACCCTTTGAGACCTGAACAGTTCTTGAGCAATTCCACTCTTCGGATTCGGGTGCACGAATTACGGGGAGAGTTGCGTTAAACTTGGGGGGCGTGCGTCATCAGAAAACCTGTACCGGTGGTGGTGTATTTCGCTTCTAAGGCAGTGGATTATTGTTCCACGGCGCGACTGTGAGTTTGAGATCTTCAATCAAGTATTTTCCGTTTCATCTTCTCTATTTTTTGTTATTGGAATCGACAGGTATTTTACCAACATTGAGAGCCTTCTGGACCACGTCCCGCTGCACCAATAATAATGTTGTCGTTAAATGTTATCATTGTTTTGTTTTTCCAATGTGCTTCAATTTATTTAAATTACAAGTATGTTTAATTTTGTATTTTGAACCTTAGATATATAATTTCGTATGCATATGGTTTGATTAGATTAGATTAGAGGTGATCAAAGTTAGCTCGGCCTGATTTTGGACGGGTTTTGGGCAGAATTTTCTAGCCCGATTTTTTTTAGGCGGGTTTAGGAATGCGTTTTTAAGCATATTTACACTACAAGAAAAAAGATCAAAGTGGGCGACTTTAATCGGTCAAGGAAGGCAAGTTATAGTTTGCCTTGGTAGTTGCTATCAAGGAGGGCAAAATTATAATTGCCCTTTTATTGCAGAGCAAAGAGGGCGAAATTTACTTTCATCTTTCTATTTCAAAGCAAGGAGGGCAAATTTCGTTTTCGTCCTGTATATCAGAGCAAAGAGGGCGAATTCCATTTTCGTCCTCTATTTCAGAACAAAGAGGGCGAAATTGTAGTTTTGCCCTCTAATTTTAGAGCAAAGAGGGCGAAATTTTAGTTTGCCCTCGTTGAAAGTACTAATAGTAATAAAATAATACTCCTAAATACAAAAGTTACATAAAATAATATTACTAAACCCCCAAAACAGAATAAGGTTCATTCTCTCTCCTCTCAAAAATGATGAACCCTAAACCCCCAATACTGATTGCTTCAGTCTTATTCTGCTCAATCATTTGCTCAAATCTTAACCTTAATCTCTTGCTCGAATCTTATTCTGCTCGATCATTTGCTCGAATCTTTTGTTCGAATCGCTCGAATCTTCGGTTCGAATCGCTCGAATCATTTGGTCGACTCTTCTGCTAGAATCACTTGCTCGAATTTGGATCGAATCTGCTCGAATTGAAAGTTTCAGGTATTGCATGTTACATTTGAGATTATTCAAACTGTTTATCGAATTAATTGCTTAATTTCTTAATTGTATGAGCTATTGATTACCATGAATTGTGATAAAAGGATATTTAATTTGGATTATCTTATGATATTTAATTTGGATTATTCTATGCTCTTCCGATTTTTAAAAAATTTTGGTCGGAATATACTTTGAAATTGTGTAAAAATCAAAAAAATTTGTTATATCTTGATCACAATTGCTGTAATTTTTGGGATTTCTACTCCTAATTTAGTCCTTTGTATAATTGAAATACAATCGTTCTTAGTAATTTCTGTTTTCCTAATTAATCTAATACTTCATATTAAATTGGACTTTAACTTACAATACAGTAAGATGAATTTGTATATGAACAAATGGCAGGGCTTATAATACAGTATATGGTAAGTCAATGAATTTGTGACAGACACTTAAAATTTGTCAATCTTATACTTCATTTTTTAAAAAGATATTAAAGCAACCACTTATTTAATTGGTGGATTTAAGTGGTACTTCTCGTTGAACTTACCAACCAATTAGAGTAGTGATTATTTTATGCAAATGAGTAAATGACGTATATAAAGTTGGAGTGGTAAATGTAATGTGTGTACTAGTCTACTGTCGTTTGACTGTGTGAGTATATCAAAGTTGGAGTGGTAAATGTAAATGACAGCAGAAGAGGTGGGAGAGGGAAGAGAAAGAGGGGAATTTTAAGGTTTTAGTCCAGGCTGTGACACCATGTTAGAATGTATACAGTACTACGCTGGTTATGAGTTGTGTATTACCTCGTATTACAAGAGTCCTAGAGCAAACCTAATACTCACAGGGTAGTTACAAATATATTCTCTTAAACAGAATAATACCTGTGGAAGTAGTATTTAAGTTGATGACAAGTGTATGTTACTTCTTGTGGTGAGCAGGTTTTTTGCCTAGCATAAAAACCATGTGTATCAACTTATTATGTTAAGGTTAAGATTAAGGTTATGGTTTGTATATGTTAATACTAATTTGAACTCTCCATAATGACTTGTTTTCATAAATTTGTTTTATCAACTTATTATATATTCATAATATTATAAAATATAATGGGTCTTCTTTTAAAACTCCAAAGCAATGCAATTAGTATTATTATTAGTATTGGATTCTCATTAAAAAAAATGAAAAATGAAAATGTAGTACTCACTAATGAATTTAAGTTTGATAGAAAGTGTGATGTTTTTTAAACATGGATGATTAAAAAGATACATGTATTCACCTTTTTTTATAACAGTGTGGTATACTTATATATTGTTTTATGTAATATAGAATGGATAATGATAGAAGTTGGATGCATGTTGAAGGGTTGAATGGTAGGCTTCAACCAAGTTACCGAAATGGTGTTAAATACTTTCTTGATTTTGCTTTCAAGGACACTAACCCTAATTCTGGGGATAAGAAGAGGTGTCCTTGTTTGAATTGTCTAAATTACTTTGACCATGACCGAGCGACAATGCGTGTTCATCTCCTTCAAGTGGAAATAGACCCTGATTACAATCCATGGGTATTCCATGGAGAGGAACAATCCCTTGACATCGGTGAGATGGAGATGTCCGAGGAGGAAGGTGATGAGTTATATGATGAAGATCCTCTTGTATAAGAAGAGATGGCTTCTTTGGTACATGATGCGACAAATGTAGTGCCGGAGGAGCACGATGGGGATGAAGGGGGTGGAGATTGTTCTGAGATTCCCGATAAATTTTATAAATTGATGAAAGATGCAGAAGAAGAGCACATGCGATGGCATAAAGAGAGGCAACAACTTGATGACAACATATTAAGGCACCCATCCGATTCAATGGCATGGAAGAAGCTTGATGAATCATTTCCGGAGTTTGCAATCGATCCACGTAATGTTAGATTAGGTCTTTCGACTGATGGTTTCAATCCCGGTGGAAATTTTGGCGCTAATTACAGCATTTGGCCAGTGTTTTTGGTGCCATACAATCTTCCACCATGGATGTGCATGACAAGTCCATACATCATGTTGTCACTCCTAATTCCCGGTCCTAAGTCTCCTGGAATGGATATTGATGTGTTCTTAGAACCATTGATTGATGAACTTCAAGAATTATGGGAAGTTGGGGTGAAAACTTATGATTCACATAGTCGACAAAACTTTACAATGAAGGCAGCCCTATTGTGGACAATGAGTGATTTTCCCGCTTATGGAAATTTGTGTGGTTGGAGTACTTGTGGTAAACTTGCTTGTCCATCATGTCACAAAGATACCTCACATGAGAGATTGAAGCTTGGAGGGAAAGAATTCTTTGATGGCACTCGACGATTCTTGGATCCTGATCATAGATGGAGAATGGATAGAAAATCTTTTAATGGAGAAACAGAAAGGCGACCACCTCATATCCCTTTGTCGGGGGATGAAATAGTAGAAGCATTTGATGGTGTTCCGAATGTGATATTTGGGAATAAGAGAAAGAGAACTCAAAGATACTTGTTTGACCAATGGAAGAAGTTTAGTACCTTCTTTAGACTCCCTTATAGGTATTGGAGAGAAAGGTTGAAGGCTGACTATTTTTCAAATCGCAAATCTTTATTAGAGGCAGAGCGTGCTTTCCCACCTTCAATAAAACTTGAACAATGGAAGTGGCTTGTTTATAACTATTGGAGCTCTCCTAAGCAGAAGGTAAGTAATAGGAATGCTCTTGTAATCAAAATTCTACAATTTTCATTTCTTCCCCTTTACTAATCCTATATGCTATTTTGTAACCTTTAGGAAAGGAGTGAGAAGAATCGGGCTAATGCTCTTGCAAAGAAGATCAAGTCGGCATGTGGTGCGAAATCAACAGCTCGCATAATTTATGAATTGGTGAGTATAAATGTTAAAATTAATCTGCATCATTTAGATGATCTTCTGGTTCTGTTTCTGTTTCTGACCATCCTAATCTGAATCTTAATTTCTGGTTCTGTTTCCCTTTAATTTCGATATCAAATAATCAGTTACCAATTAGTAACACAGTCTGTTGGTGGAATTTTCATTGTGGTTACATCAGATGATCTTCTGGCTCACATTTCTGGTTCTGTTGCTCTGATTATTATTGTTTCCTAAATGGATTGATCTTGCTGAAATTAATAAGTGTATGGATATGATTTGATAGGAACTTGAGGCACAAGCTTGTGAAAATGAGAATGAGGTCACCGAAATCAATGGTTCTAGTTCAAATGTAACCACTGCATCCCAAGCTAATGATGATCCCATGTATTTAAAGTTATGGGAGAAGTCAAAGAGGTATATTGAATATTTGTCTAATGCACGAACACTTTGTTTTTCTTTATTTTAAAATTCTGACTTTGTTTTATCTTGTAAGGCATAAAAATGGGAAGTTTGACGATGAGGCCGAGGAGAAGTTCAAGGAATTAAGGGAGTTGCATGAGAAAGAAATTGGTGAAAAGGGGGTTGATAATCTTACTCTTGAAGAAGCTTATGTGAAGGTTCTTGGACATCGTTCAGGTTATGCCCGTGGTTTTGGCAAAGGGCACCCGGTGTCGTCTAAAGATGGAAAGATAGGAAGAGCTGAGCTGGAACATAATGTTGAAAAACTACAAAATGAAAATAATATTATGCGAGCTGAATTGGAAGCGTCTAAGAAGAAACAAGAAGACCTAGAACAAAAGCTTCGGTTAATCATGGAGAAAATTGACCTTGATGCTTAATAGAGGTAATATTTTATACGAATTATCTACACTTATGAATTATCTACTTGCTTAATAGAGGTAATATTTTAGACTCTAGCATGTCTGTATCAGTTGCAGATAACACTTCCCCTGCAACAGTGCTGACTGGTTCTGCTCTTTCAGGGGTTCATTTGGCTGTTTATGAGTCTGATTCTCAGAAGATCATTTGGTATATGGTTCACTTTTTCTGGACTATATGCTGCATTTTTATTTGCAAATTCTGTTTATGATGTAGTTGTTTTTAGGAGAGTGAGACATGTTAAGGTTGTTCAGAATAATGAAGGTAGTTCAGAGTAATGATCCTAACCTTCAAATTACCCTTTCATAGTCATTATTAATAGTGCAATAATATACTAATTTGTTGCTTTATTCTTTGAGATATGTTCTATATACTAATATATTTCTTTATTAATTATTAGATATTGTTGATCATTTAATTGCTTATTGCTGCTATTTGTTTTTTATTACAGGTCCTGCCCTTCTGGTTGATGTACCAAGGGATAACAACATAACTGGTACCCCTCCTAAAATTCTGTTTGCTTATATATTTTGTTAAAATTTCTAGGATGACTAGGGTATTGTCTTATTTTATTGAGGTTACTAGGTGTACACACTGCTTGATTTAAAAAGCAGAGTATGTGGATCCTGGTTTAATGATGCTATTGATACTATTATGAGATATGAGCACTTAAATTGGTAAATTTGAAAGAAGTTTAAGAGTGACTTGTGGTTGGAGTTAGGATAATACTTTTGTTATGAATAGCAATGTATATTGTGTTTTTTGTAGATAATACTCTTATTATGAATATTGTAGAATAATACTGTTGTTATGAATGTTTGTCTTCAACTACCATCTGTTGTAATACTCTAGTGTTTATTAACTACCATCTGTTGTAATACTTTTGGTCCTGTTTTTGTCAAGTTTGCAGTTAGGAGATCAAGTCAATGTTTTGGGGATGGAGGACACCAAAAGGCTGGTTGCAAGGATGAGGAGATTGTTTGATAGACAACTTGGTTAATACTTTTGTATATATTTGCTATTATAGAAAACTTGGTTAATACTTTTGTATATACAAAATTAAAAATTTATGCCTATAGCATTAATTAGCACCTATCATAGAAAATTTATGCCTATTAGCACCTAGAATTATTTTTTTTAAAAAAAAAAAATGAAAAATTGAACAAAGAGGGCGACTTTGATTTTTCCCTTTTAAAATATGATCAAACAGGGCGAATTTTGAGCAAGGAGGGCAATATAAATTGACTTGTTTGAGTTGATTACACAGGGCAAAAAAAAATTCGTCTTGCTTGATTCAATCAAAGAGGGCGAAAATTTTGCCCTATTTGATTTTGATCAAAGAGGGCTAAAATTTTTGCCTTCTTTGATATTTAACAAATAGGGCGAAAAACTTGTATGCCCTTTGAAGCTAATAGGACGAAGCTAACAGGGCAATTTGAGGGCGATTTTAAAATCGCCCTCTTTGCCTAATAGGGCGAAATTTGAACCTAAGAGGGCGATTTAAATTGCCCTCTTTGATATAATATCTTGTAGTGTTAGTTGAGTTTTTAGGCCCGGTCTGAAAATGGCCCGAAAAGCCAGCATTGCTGGACCATTTTGGGCGCAAAATTTCAGCCCGAAGCTTGGCCTGGCCCGAGAAGTCGACTTATTTTTTTGGCTTTAACTCGATCTAGCCCGCCCAATAATTACCTCTAAATTAGATAAGGTTGGCTTTTATTTTTATATTTTGTTAATTTGTAATTTTGATGAATGATATGTTTTTATGATATAATTTACAAGTATATACGGATAAATTTTCATTGCAATAATTTTTGATAAATTTTCATTGCAATAATTTTTTTAAGTCTAATCTATTTTCTACTAGATGTTTAAGATTTTTTTAATTTTCCAAAATCTTCTTAAGAGTTCTTCAAATTCAACTCCCCTTTTTTTTAATCACATGTCTCCGAAGAGACGCCGAAATTTAACTCTACAAACCTCTAACTCAGATAAAAAATTTCAAAACATATACAATTACAAAAAGGCCAACATCTTCAATTCCCATTCTAATGTCACTTATATTCCAAAGTCTAGAAAAATGAAGACTATAATACAAACTTTGTTAAAACAAAGACTACAACAAGGCGCAAAAAAATTGTGAAGTGTTATTTTAAGACAAGTGAGAACTACTTCAATATGATGTCATGACAATTCATAAAATTTAGGGCTAATCTTCATATCCTAATATGTTTTTACATATGGCATTGTATCCAATAATCCAATTGATGTGTTTTGGGTCTCATATGATACGGTATTTGGGTGGTTTCCTGCCTTGCGATTTTCTTCTTGTTCTTGAAAAGGATTAAAAGAAGTAATACTTAACAGAGTATATATATATACATTCGGGTGTAACTAGAATTTAAAAAGTAAAAAAATTATCTTAGGTGGAAATGTAAAAGTTTTTCTATACCACAATGTAGGTTAATTTGATGATGAAACGAACTATAGTGTTCTTTTACGGATTCATATAGGAAGCACAAGTGCACAACTGTACAAGTTTTATGGTCAACAACACTAGCTTATTATTATTTGATTAAGGTAATTTCATTCTTATGCAAAAATTGAATATGCAAAAAAAGTCCCATATCGACAATATAGTTAAAAAGTAACAACTTAATAATCAGAGTTATCAATGATAATGATCACCCAACTACAATAGTTGGGTAGCCATTATATTTAATTTCAAAGCCATGATAACAATTGAGGAGTGAGGGGATCTCCCCCCGTGTGATGGGGTTCGACTCCTCACAGCCCCACTCCTGAGATAGGATGGGGGCCCTTCCTCACAGCCCCACTCCTGAGATAGGATGGGGCCCTTCCCTGTAGTTAATTAATAGCCATCCGTTAAAAAGTTGGTGATGAAAAAAACACATTGATTGAGAGTTTAAAAGACGTACATGAAGGAAACAACTCTAAGAAGCTTGATTAATAGCAAACCATTTTTAAGTTTTTGTCATGCTTGTAGTACAACAAAACGTACATCCTGTAATTCATTTCTTTATTTTACATCAACTACTCGTGTATAATCTTAACGATCGATTTGTGAGTTGGCTAGTTTGCTAGTTTGGCTAGTTTCTCTCTAATTAGAGACTTAAGAATCTTATTTAATTTTTGATTCCTTCTGTCTTCTCTTACTTGGGTACAATCAGGCACTCTCCTTTATTCCTGGTTCATACACACGAGTCTTTCATTTTTTTTAAAGGGCAGAGGAGTTGAATTTGTTATATATATTCTTCAAATTTTACTCAATCTATTTAAAAATGCCAATTGCAAGCTATTATTTGATTTATTTAAATTAATTTTCAAGCCTACTTATATATATGGTATCATTTACACTTGTGTGTAGCTGTTGCTTAGGATCGCGATGAAGATACAGGGAGCTGGAATGACAATTAATGTTAGATCAATATGTATACCGTCCTTAATCGATGATTTGAGCATTGTTCGTGTGATTATTAGCTGGGGATACAATATTATTTACAAAATCTAGTTGCTATTTGGGTATATTATTATGTAGGAAGAAAATATTTCATTATTATCAACATATTGGAATTAATTAATACATGTAACAGCTAAATAATACTATAACTCAACAAATGAAATGAATGTGCAGCATCATATATAACTCATAAGGATGTATTTCAGTGGAATTTGTCCAGGATAAGTCAATGTAAAGATAGGGTTTGATTTGTTAGTTGAGATTTTAGCTTGTGAAAGATTAATTAATTTTATAACAAAATGATAACCTCCAATACAATGCAATTTAATTTGTATGTTTTAATTTGATTTCAATTATTATTGTGAAAGAGGACCTTTTAAGTGGTCGACTTTTTGAAAAAGTACCTTTTAAGTGAAAACTTGTGAAAAAAGACATTTTAAGTTGCATTTTATTTGTATGGGGTACTTGGGTGGTCAACGTCGGAGCTCCGACATTGACTATCACGTGACTTATTTTTAAAAAAAATCTATAAATTTTCCTCCTTTTCCGACCTAACCCTTTGGTGGAGGGAAATTTGGCTAGGTTGGATAAGGAGAGAAATTTGGGGATTTTTTTTAAAAAAATAAGTCATGTGACTAACACCGTGTTGAGCAAAACACAAGCTCACCCAAGTATCCCCGTACAAACAAAATGCAACTTATTCACAAGTTTTCACTTAAAAGGTCCTTTTTCAAAAATTCAACCACTCAAAAGGTAATTTTTCACAATTTTCTCGAAATATAATCAATGTCTTCATTCAAATGATTTGAGTAACATTAGTTAGCTAAAGTAATTGTCAAAAATTTATTAAAATTAATTATTCCCTCTATTCCATCTTAAAATTCTTCTAATTAAATTTATTAGGTATAAAGTTTTATTAATTAAAAAGAAAAAAATAGCTAACACTCAAGCAAGCCCATATAAATTAATATGCCATTTATAGAATTTTTGCGACTATGTTGCATTGGGATGGACAAATGAGAAAACTAGTGCAATTGTCCAGTAATGTCAAACTGACGAAATATTCAAATATTATAAAATTTTTAAAATAAAAAAAAATATATTAAAAAAAACAAAACAAAAAAAAAAAAAAAAAACCTTAATTGGGTTTTAAAAAACTAATCCATCCTTTCCGGACGGAAACGAAATATTCAAATGTTTGATATTGCTACCCACCACCTATTGTAGATGGGTGATCTTTAGTTGTTACAAATATGTATATAAAGTTGCAAATCATGAAGAATAGCTACGATATGGGACACATGATGTAATTTAAGTACTCTCATTCCTTTTCGAAAACTTTCTTATCCTTGAATATATGGCTAGTAAGTGGTAACTAAGTACGTGCATTAGGCCATTTGCATAATGATAAAGCTTCATTTGGGAGATTTTAATATGGCCTCAAAATGTAGTCCAAACATAGATAAGAAGTCATGGCTACTAATAACTAATTAAATTGATATATGACTTCATAAACCATGTCATTTAGTCTAAATTAGCATTAGAACATTCCTTTAGGTTTCTCCTTGAGAGGTTGTTTTCCTAGGGTTTTTCCAGTCTTTTGGGTTTTCTTTCGATCTTCTACCTTCACCCTTTTTTTCTCCTTCATCCTTCTCTTCTCCTTGATCTCCCTCGTGAATATTGGTAAGGTGCTACCACTGGTTCTTTGATAAGTAGAAACTAGAAAGCCCCAAAATCCCTTTTTAATCGCTTATAATAATATATCTCATTTTTACGATGGTATTGATCGGTGTAGATAATTTCTATTTTGCCATTGGAAGTTCTAATTTGTTGGTGGTGGTTCGTGCAGCGTTGAATCAGTTGTCAGGCAACAACTACAATTAATTGAATCAGTTTATGTTCAATTCAAAAACTACCAAAGATCGCAAGGCACCCTTGTAGAAGAAGGTTGTAGAGGACAACAATTCAAGAATAGACTGGAACCTACAATTAATTGAAGGTTGTAGAGGACAACAATCGGGAGGGGACTGGAACCTAACCACCCACAACTAATCCTCGAATCCGGATTAGCTCAAAGGGTGAACCGGATGGAACACCAAAAAAAATAATTTGGTAGTTGAGTTTGAACAAATCTTAAGACGATTTTGGAATTTTTAAGAAATCTTAAATATCTAGTAGAAAATTTAATATCTTAACAAAAAAACTAGTCCGTCCTTTACGAATGGCTATACATTAATTTTTCCAATTCCAACATGATAGGGCAAATTCTCAATTTTTGAAATTGCTACCCACCTATTGTAGATGGGTAATCATTAGTTATTACATATTTATATATAAAGCTGTAAATCACAAAGAATGAATACGATATGGGACACTACATATACTCTCTTTTTGGGAGGTTTTAGTGTGGTTGTACGTCCTCAAACTATAAAAATTGATCTGATGTCTTGACTACCTTCAGCGACGCAAAGCATCTCCAATGGTAAGCTACAAGGCTTATAACTTATCTTGATACATCAAAATTTTGGGCTAGTATATTATTAAAGCTACAAGGTGCTCCAATGGTGAGAAATAACATGTTGTACCTTGAAAAAATAAATAAATTAATTAAATAGCTTTAATTATCCACATGCCATTCTC